CCTGGCACTTACACACTGACCTGTGACATGACTTCCTCTCCCCGTTCTCCCAGCTGAGGAAACGAAGACACAGATCTTCCCCAGGCCACACAGCTGGAAGGGTCAGCGCTGGCCCCGGACCCAGGCAGTCTGGCCCGGTGCCGCCAGACCTGGCCGCTGCATGACAAATCCTCTCCCGACCGGGGAAGTCCGGGGTTTCCGCGTCAGGGCCCGTGCGGAGACTGTTCTGAGCCCTGCTGCAGCGCCCAGGCAGCACAGCAGGCCGAGACCCTCCTGGTGCCCTGTCGCCCACGAGGCCGACGCGGAGGCGGCAGTGAAGCGGCGTCAGGGCCGACGGCGGCCTGCAAGCCAACTTCAGGGGCGGGGGTCCCGAGCGGCAGGGCTGCATGTTGCTCCTTCCGGAATCTGAGCACCTGATGCTCCCCTTGCACGTGCCCACCTGCCCCCTTCACACTGACATTCACACAGTCATGCCGTTTGTGCTAACGACATTTTGACCTAGTTTATTAGCATGACCACATAACTGCTAGAGTAGAAAGCGCTCTCCCAGGCACCAGCTGGAGTCGCCTCTGGTTCCAGGTCCTCCTGCCTGTCTGGAGGGCACGTCTGCGCCGGTCACACGGCAAGGGGCGGCGGGCCGGGCCAGGCTCCTGACGCCCGGGGGAGCCTCACATGTGGTGCCGCCCGGATGCAGGAGTTCTTAGGGTCAGCCCGCCTGCAGCCACTCGCTCCACACCCAGCTGGGGGCCACAGCGGCCCAGCCCCCTGGGAAGTGCAGAGCTCCCTCAGGTGGGCCAGCGAGGGGCCAGGGCCCCTGGTGTCCTAGGCCCCGAGCTCTCGGCGAGGACAGCCCTCTGGCTGGGCAGGCGGAGTGCTGTCTTAGTGACGCCGAGTGCAGGGTGGTTCCAGGCATTTTACCCACAAAGTGCTCCGTACACAGCCGTGGAGAGAGAGGCAGAGCTGCGGTTTGCACCCACTTCTAACGCCCTGCCTGCGTTACTAGATGGCAGACCAGCCTTCTGGGGGTTTTCCTCCTTGCCCCTCATCTGATGAGGCCGCAGGCCGCGGGATACTGTGGAGGAGACGGGCTCAGACGCGAGGGAGAGGAACAGCTGAGCGGGGTCAGGAAGCCAGATCCATCCCGCTTCCAGGCCAGCTCTGCCCGCCCACCCTGCCAGCTCCCTGGCACCGGAGAAAAGGTCCTCAGGGATGGGCAGAGAAGTCAGACCTGGGCATCCGTTTCTGCCCACTCCCAGCCCTCCAGGACAGGGCAGTGGCCCTGGGGGAGGAGCCTGCCAGCGTCTCCTGGGGGGGGAATGCAGGGCCCCTACGGCAGGCACCCCCGCCCCCCATGAGCACGTGTCTGGGGGCCATGGACGCCCCTCTCAGGGCCTCAGGGGCCCCACCAGCAACTCCCAACAGTCCACCTGGGGTCAAAGGCCAGAGAGGCAGGTGGACAAGGGCCTCAGTGAAGAATCCAGGCCCCAGGAAGGTTGCCTGTTGGGGAACTGGGATCCCTCAGGCTGCGAAGTGTGGTGGGTTTCCGGCCTGAGCATCTCGGCCAGTGGGAGCGCCACGCGCCCAGATGAAGGAACCAAAAAGCAGCCCGTTTCCGGGAGAGGATGAGTTTACTTTTCGGACGTGCCGATTTTGACAGTCTCTGTGGTCCCCGAAGGGAGGGTCCAGCTAAAAGCCAGGCAGATGGTCTGGAGCTGGGGGTCAAGTCTGGGCTAGAAACGGGCATTCTAGAATTAACACCACGAAACCACAGGCGAGAACAGTCTCAGGGAGAGAACTCAGACATTAAACTGTAGATGGAGCTGAACGGGCTCAGCAGGACCACCCGGAAAACTGCAGTATTGGGCAGGAGGACCCCTCACAGAGCAGCGGGGGGCCAGACCGCTGAGCCGGGGACACGCCAGGGGTCCTGCAGGGAAGGGGAGGGGACCCCCGGGGCCAGAGGTGAGCATGGAGCCTGCGGACGGGTCTTTCAGGCAGGAGACTGAGCGTGCTGATAGTCTGGAAGGGACTGGAAGCAGGACTAGCGCGGAGGTGATGGAAGTCCCAGGGAGAGGGGACCGCTGGGCTGGCTTTGAACAGGAGGGACACACCATCTCCAGGATCAAAGCAAAGCAGTCGAGATAAGCAGGAAGGAGACTTTGCTGGTGGGGGTAAGGAAGCGGCGAGACCACGCCTAATGGCCTGCCTTTTCCTGAAGCAGTCGGGGAGGATTTGCCGGGGCGGGCAGAGGGAGAAACAAACAGGAAGATGGCCCAGGGAGTCTTGGGAGAAGCACTGAGCTGCCCGGGGGCACAGGCCAGGCTGAACACCCGCAGTGGGGGCTTCAGGGTAAGAATGGACCCAAGGAAGCAAGAGAGCCAAGGCGCTGGGGCTGACCTGGGTAAGAAGCAGAGGCAGGGGCCCCGGGGAGCAGGCGACGCCTCCCTCTGCCCCACCCCTCCCCGTACGGGATGACTGACCTTACTGGCCAAGAATCCGCCTGCAAGGCAGGAGACCCTGGTTCCATTCCTGGGTCGGGAAGATCGCGTGGAGAAGGGATAGGCTGCCCACTCCAGTATTCAAGGGCTCCTCTGGTGGCTCAGGTTAAGAATCATCCTGCAATGCAGGAGCTCTGCATTTGATCCCTAGGTCGGGAAGATTCCCTGGAGAAGGGAATGGCAATCCACTGCAGTATTCTTGCCTGGAGAATCCCATGGACAGAGGGGCCTGGCGGGCTACAGTGTATGGGGTCACAAAGAGTCAGAACGACTGAGCACCTGAGCAGACACATGAGGCTCAGTCCCCTGGGCCAAACCCAACCTGTCTGTCTGTCCCAAGTGGCAACAACCGCTCGTAGATCAGCTTGGCTGCGGGGCTGATGGGACACACACGGATTCCTGAGCACAGCCCTAGAATTCATCTCACAGACGAGGTGAAGACTTCCATCTGGCGTCTGCGAGCTGGCTGCAGGGACCCTGCTCCAGGGTCACGCACAGAAGCCTCCGAGGCACGTCGGGGCGGGCGTCTGACAGCAGCTTGTGTGTGAAGTCCAAGCGCGTGGAGAGGCTGGGCTTCTGGCTGAACCATCAGGGAAAGTGAAGAGGCACTCCTCAACATTTACGTTAGTGTTTTCTCGTGAACCAGGCTTCCTGACAGTCAACAGCAGCTGCCTGCCACAGACCAAACCTTTAAGACCATCACAGGCAGGTCAGAGCACTTGCAGGACTCAACCGAAACTCAGGGACACAGGGGACCCAGGTCCCCCCACGGTGGGGTTACAGGGGTATCTGGGAATCTGAGATGCCAGTTTCTGGACGGGTTATTCTTGATACGCTGAGCCACCCATGTGCCAACCAGCAGAAAGCGTCCCCGTCATGGAGGAATTCTCAGGCTCACCAAGGCCCGCGAAACAGCATGTGACCTGGCCGGAGCCGAGCCTGCGCCAGGCTGACTGAGGACAAGAACGCAGCCAGTGCTGGGCCCTCCACCGACCACCCGTGGGCGCGTACCTCCCGCTAACCCGCCACGAGCCCCCTACTGGACGAGGATCCCGGTCAAACCCACTCCTCCGATCATCCCTCACTAGCTTCCAGTGCCGCCCCCAAGGCTCCAGGTTCCTTCTGGAGCCCCATGGAAGCGTCACCGCCCCCCCTCCAGTACCTGCACTTGGCTCTGAACTTTGGCACATTGCTGCCACCTGAAATGCCCACCTCACCAAAACCCCAGCTCAGGGCTCCACAGCAGGCTCCTCAACGCGCTGACCCAGGCAGACCCCAAGGGTGGAGATTCAAACACATCCCATTGGGCCTCCAGGTCCTTCTTTCTGCCGGAAACGCCCCTCACTGCACGTCCGGGATGCCTGGTGGTGCCTCAGCCCTGGGGGCACTGGAAGCCTCTCCTGGGGCGCGGCCTCCCCTGCTGGCCCCACTCCCCTCTGAGCACCTGCTGTTTTCATTTGGGGAAATGTGGCGGACAGAGGAGCCTGCAGTGCTGCATGGGTCACTCCATGGGGGGTGCAGTCCATGGGGTCGCAGTGACTCCGCGACTAAACAGCCAACAGTGGGCTTTTCCGTGAGCGCCGGGCACGGCGTGCCTAAGGTGCTGACGTCAGACGCTGTTCACTCAGGAGACTCACGAAGACAAGATGCGAACTCGGGAGAACCCCCGGGCCAGCCCACCGCCTGCGCCTTGCACGGGACAGAGCCTGAGAGGGGCAGACACCCCAACCCCGCCCCGAGGGCCATCCAGCCCTGGGTCCACAAGGACACTGCTCCAGGGCCCGCCTGTGAAACAGTCAGCTCTCAGAATCTTTCGAAATCCACAAAGTGAGAGGAAAAAAAAAAGACAATTTAATGATGGCAAGTAACAGAAGGACAGTTGTCTCCATGCACGGGGACGCTGAGACTCAGGGACACGTGGCCATCTGAGGACAGGGGCCCAGGGGCTTGGGGCCACCGCGCAGCCTCGGGGTCCTGTGGTCCCACCAATGGCTCAGCAACTGCAGCCTGGGGGGCAGGGACGGGCTTGGGGGGGCAGCCTGTCTTCCTGAGGTAGGAGCAGGGGCCGGGGCAGAGTCAACCAGAGAAGACGACGGGGGTAGGAGCCGGAACACAACCAGAGGCCCTGAGGACCAGCAGGTTGAGTACCCAGCCCTCCCAGCAGGGCCGGCCCGAGGGCTGGGGGGTCTGCTCGGGAGGCAGCTCCCGATGACCCAGACCCCAGGGTCTGGAGGTGGGAGGGCGGTACGCGGGCTGGGGTGGGGACGGCCCAGCCAGGAGACAGGCCTGCTCCAGCCCCAAGAGCCCTGGCTGGCTGTGGTCTCCTCCCCTTCACCCTGAGCGGGGAACCAGCACCCTTCCTGGGTCACCCAGCTGAGCACGACATTCCAAAAGAGGGAGAGAATGAAAGCTGCCTGGGGCTTTAAAGGGGAAGACCCGGAGTGGGGCATGGAGCTGGGAGAGTGGCCGGGCTCTGTCCGGCCCAGAGGCTGAGCCGGCTGCCTAGCTGAGCATCTTGTGCCGGTCAAAGACGGTCTTCCGCTGCTCCTGCACCTGCAGCTTCCACCGCTGCTGCGCGCCCTCCACGCGCTCCAGGACCGTGTTCGCCCGGGGCCCGAAGGTGGCGGCGGCCGCCGCAGAGCGAGCGTCCTGTCGTGCGAAGGAGAGCAGGGGGTCTCAAACGCCCGACACCCAAGGGGTGCGGGGATAGCGGCCCTCAAGTCCGGCCTCCCGGAGGGCCCTGCCAGCACAGGGCAGTGGCTGTGGGGCACGCGAGGGCTCCGGGAAGTGGGGCTCGGGCCAGGCCCGGCTGCACCCCAGGCATCCCTGACCCTCGAGGGGAGCACAGAGACTCAGCCTCAGGCCCGCCCGGTCAGCACAGACTCAATCATGTTGTGTGAGGAAACGCATGCACGTGGCCCCACGGCTGGGACCAGGCTAGACACCCCGGCCGTGCTGGCCAGAGACAGCAGGGAGACCCCCGGGACTGCTCTGCAGGGGCCGGAACCCCAGCCTGCTCCCGGAAGGACAGTGTCCAGCAGAGACGGCGTTGGGGGCCCACCCTGCATGCCCTCCCAGGCCCCTCCGCCCCGGGGCTCGCAGCCTCCCCCCGCCGCACCCGCCCTCACGCTGTGGCTGTCAAAGGCAGCGTGGTCCCCTAATTACCACCTCCCTGCCTCTGAGGCTCCAGAGCTAGCGCATTTCCTGCAGGACCCAAGCTGATCTTTGGGGGAATTAGAGCCGAGGGCCAGGCCCACAGCCCGGGGGATTTCCTCCCCAGCTCTGCCTGCCTCTCATCCCCTGCCACACATCTCTTAAGGGATTAGCACACCTCTCCAAGCCCAGAACCGCCCAGTAAATGCAACTCTGTTGCTAATGCCCTGAGCTGGCACGGCTTCTGTCACCACGCAGCTGCCAGGCGGGGGATGGGGGTGGGGAGTGGGGGGTGAGGGGACAGCAGGCCGAGCACCAGCAGGAGGGGTGAGGCTGGCGGGCCGGCCCCGGGGGAGCTGGAGAGGGGCGCTGCCCCCGAGCCCGCTGCCCCAGACCCCGAAGAAGCGCGCTCGGCCTGGCTGGGCGAGGACCAGGGCCGCAGGGCAGAGCGGGCGGCGTCTCAGGACCCCTGGATTCCGGGCCTGGGCCTGAGGGGTACGCTCTCCGCCCCGAGCCACTCGGCAGCTGCGTGTCCCTAACGAGCGACCTCACCTCCCCTGGCCCCAGCTTAATAAAGCCCGTCTTCAACTTGACTAAACTGTCGGCAGGAATCACATGCACCAGGCGATCCAGCACGCGCACACACACGCACGCACGTGCACGCACACACGCACACATGGCCTCACAGGACGCTCACTCCCTGCCCCGCTCCTCGTCGCTGCGCTGACGTCCAGCACGGCGGTTACATAGCCCGCAGCAGCTCGCTGTCCCTGCTCCCAGCAGCCCAGGGTGGGAACACGGCCGTGGACTCAAAGCTGCCCCTGCACCTGGGCTCTGACCGGGAGGACCGAGCACCACCATCCTCCGACCCTGCTCCCTGCCATGGACGGCACCGCAGGGACAGTGAGCACGGTGGTTAGCAGCACCTGGCAGATTGCAAGTGCTCAATTCACAGCAACAACTGTCAGCGTGAGACCCACTCTGGGAGCCCCCAGGCAGGCGGAAGGGGACAGCCACCTTTCAGGTCCCTCCCAGGCTCAGGACCAGGCTCTGCGTGGGCGTCTAAGTGACGGGGTGCTGAAGGCTGCCATGGAGGCGGTGGGCCCGCCAGGACTGAGCCACACCGGCTCTGGGGCCCCCGGGGTCCTCTCCCTGCCCGCCCGCCCATCCTCTCGCCCCTCCTGGGAGCCAGGGAGAGGCCACCCTCGCCCCTCCTGGGAGCCGGCGGGCAGGCCATTCTTGCCCTGGCTGCTTCCCTGTCCCATCTTGGGGGGAGGCAGAGGGAGCTAAGAGCCGGGCATTAAGTGAGCAGCTGAGATTCACCACATTCCCGCAAGACCGCGGTTTCTCCTTCACATAAAGTCTTAATAAACAGCTCCTAAGCAGGAGAGCTGCAGCTGAGCGGCTGCGTGCTTCCACTGCCAACAGTCTGATTAGTGGTAATTAGAAACGCCACCCATCCTAGAGACGCCCAGAGCAGGACAGACGGACAGGTGCTACCACACTAGAGCTGGGCCTCTGGACACTGAGGGCGAGAGGGGAGCCCCGACAACCGGGAGGAAAGTGGGCGGCACGACAGGCGTTCCAGGCACCCGACGCTCCGTGCGTGCGTCACCCACACCATACGCAGGCTCAGAGACCGGCCCGTCCGCGGCTCCGGAGGCCACGCGCCTGCTGCCCAAGGTCATGGCGGACTTGGGCCCGCATGTCCTGAGCCCCGCACTCAAGCCCCCGGGCGGGCCGCCCTGGCCCTAGGTCTCCGGCCTTGCCATGCCGGTGACCATCTTCACCCGGCCTCCCCCGCAGCAGTGAGGGCGCTGCTCCGTGCTGGGGCCCCACCGAGGGGCCTCCTTCTCAAGGCACATACAGCACTGCCGCAGCTCCACGGGGACAGGAGCTCAGACTTGGAGAGCTGACCAGGTTAAACCCCTGGACAGCGTGTGCGGCGCGGGCTCCGGCCCGTGGCGGCCCACAACCCCAGCACCGCACCCCCAGCGCCCCGGCCGTGAGGTCCTGACAGCCGTTCCGGGGCGCCCACTGGCCCTGCCCCGGCCACCCTGGGCTCAGCAGGCCAGCACACCGCCCATCTCGGGCTCCCCTCCACCCAGGAGAGGGCTGCTCAGAGGCCGGGGGCCCCGGCTGCCAGCAAGGTCATGTCCTCCACAAGTCCCTCTCCCTCCTCTGCCCACCCCCCACCATGGGCTGCGATCTCGGGGGACCCTCAGAGCTCAGGCCTACGCCTGTGAGGTGCAGAAACCCTCCCTCCTGTCTTCAAAGGGGCCCAAACTGCACATGTGACGCGGCCCCGTTTGCCATCTCTGCCCAGCAAACAGGCTGGCTTCCTCCTTTCAAAGGGCGTCTGAGCCCGGGGATTACTGCCGATGCCGCTGGAATCCTGGGGAGGCAGCGCCCTGCGCCGGGCCCACCGAAGCCCGCCGGCGCCTTCAAAGGGAGCGAGGCTTTCATCTCCTGCAGGCGGCGGGCAAGGTCTCCCCTTCCTGCTAGTCCTTGAGCCCCAGGGCAGGAGCTCCCGGCTACAGGAAAGGGGTGCCGAACCAAGGGGCACCGGTCCTGGGACATGGTGGACCCACCCATCTCACCTTTGACCCCGACTCCCAGAGTCGGGGGGGGGGGGCTTCACCTCAAGGTCACTGAGTTGCCCAGGCCTAGAGCCTTTCTTCCTCTTGGGATGAAAGTTGGCTCCCAGCGTCAGGGGGACCCCATCCTTCTAAGGGGCGTGCTCTTCAGACCCCAGTCACCCAGACAAACAGCCTGAGCCTGGCAGGTCCCCCTCCCAGACCCTACGTGCACTGGGCAGCGGGAGACACCCGGGTACCCACTCACTCAGCCCGAGCACCCTCAGCACTCGAGCACCCACCCTGGAGCCCCACTGCCAGGAAGCCCTCGCCCACCGACACCCAAAGAGGAAGTGCCACCTCCCGCCTGTCCGGAGCACCCAGGCACCCATGCTATCTCCTAGCATCCATCCTGCACCCCGCTGGGCTCAGCCCGAGGTCTGTGCGTTCACATGGGCACCCGCAGGCCCGGACACAGCAGGAGGAAGGGAAAGGACGCAGGAGGGGCTGGAGCGCCAGGACAGGGCGCACGCAGAGTCGCGCGGGCCGCCCGCCTCTGGGGCCCCGCAGCCCCGAGGCACACATTCCAGGAGGCAGCAGGGTGTGTAATCATCGCCCGTCTCTCAGCCGCTCCCCGGCCAGGACTGCAATTACCGCCTCCCCCTAATCGCCCGGTGCTCAGCCGCAGGCTCCTCCCCAGCAGAGCTGCTATTACTGCACGTTAATCACCAGGTAGGTGCTCAAGGCTTCCTCCTGGATGTGGACCACCCAACTGCCAGCTTCGCCACCTCCCGGCGCAGCTCCACCTTGCTAAGCACGTGTCAGCAGGAGGCTGGGGGCACACACCCTGGAGGGGCCAGGAGGCCCAAGGCCCTGCCAGGGCCCTACCTGGCCGGGAGCCGCACCCTGAGGCCCCAGCCCCGGACCTTCTGGGTGGGGACCTGCCCTTCCCTGCTCCAGGCGTGCACTGCATGGGACACTCTTAAGGGGGCAGGCCGGCGGCAGGGCAGCCTAAGCCTGGCGCCCTGAGTGGCCACTCACCCCCTCACCGGAGCCCCCCTCGCCCTGGCTCACCCTGTCTCTATGAAAGGAGGCCCTCTGACCTGGCACTAACCTCCCGGCTCTGGTCCTTTTGCCCTGGTTTTACGTAAAACAGGCTGAGGCCGAGCTCTGTGCGACACTCTGAAGGAAGGCTCTCACACACCTCCTTCAGCCTGGACTTGTTTTTCTTTCATGCTAAAACATCTTTCCATGTTTTCCACTAACTCTCCCTGGACTCAGACCCTCCACTACCAGATGGCCCTGGTATAGCCCCCGGGGGATGCATGGCCCAGTCCTCCCTGGAAGAACACAGGAGCATCTCCCCCAGCAGTGGGCAGCCTGTGGCCCCTGCCCGCAGAAGCCCGAACCCAGGGCCTGAGGTGCCCTGAGCCCCGCCCCCTGCAGATGCTGGGACTCCTCCCTCACCCCTGTCTCGGGCACAACTGCACAGGGCAGGCCCGAGGGGCGCGCTCCAGGGGCCCCTGACATCGACAGCGCTCTGGGCCTGGCGTGCCCTGCCCCCACGCCCACAAAGAGCTGCCAGGCCTCCTCTGCCCCCCTGGGCTCTGCTGACTCTTCAGGCGCCCGCTCCAAGCCCACTGTCAGCCAGACGCTAGGCCTGAGCACCCACGTGTGGGCGGGCTCACGCCCCTCTGCCAGTGCGCCAAGGCTGCCTGATGGCAGGTCAGTGGGATTCAGGGCGGCCCTCCCTGAGGAAAACACTGCAGAAGGGAGAACGCGGAATGGAGAAGAGTGAATAGGGGCCCGGGGGCGGGGACCACGGCCCCCACTCGGGGGCCAGGGGGGCCGGCAGGGCCCATACCTCACTCTCCTCCTCATTGTGCAGCCGCTCGGTGTAGGCGTCCGGCTTCCGGATCAGAGGGTCTACCAGCATCAGGAAGGCCATGTAGAGCAGGAGGGCGCCCACCACAGACAGGTAGATGACGATGATGACCTGCGTGCGGAAGAGATCCAGCTGCCCTGCGGACTGTGGGCCGTGTGGCCTCCACTGCTGCCTGCAGATGGGCCAGGAGACCTCGGCCATGGGGAGACAGCGCACCCCACCTTCACTGACCACGCCCTCGATGGAGGGGACCGCACGAGGACCACTGGTCCCCCGGCAGCACCAGGGCGACAGACAATGAGGGCTCAGCAGTGCTGCCAAGTTCTGGAAGTTTCTTTCCTGACACTGCTGTTTCCAGACCCTTCACAACACACACACGTGCCCCTAAAGGCTGGCTGGACCAGGAGCAGCTTGTGCGGGAAAGCAGCAGGCAAGCCTGGCTCACCACCGCAGGGGCGGAGCCGGAGGCGGCAAGCCTGCCTGGGGCAGGGGCAGGGGCAGGGGGCAGGGGCAGGGGCCAGGTGCCAGGGCTCTCCCAGCCTCCCACCAGCTCTGCCGAGTTCACTCCGTGACCCACGGGAACGGGGTTCAGGGGCAGCGAAGGGGGCGTCTGGGACCCGTCCTGCCAGGCCTGCGGCTCTGGAAGCTTAACCTAAAACCTGGGGTTCCAGAGGGCGGCTACCTCCCCTCCCAGTATGGTGCACGGTGCCCACGGCACAACGGGAACCCTGCCGCTGTCCGCTGAGCACGTGGCAGGCGGGACGGGGAAAGGGGGAAAGTAGGGGGCGGGGTCTCCAGCCCCTCTCCCGGGTTCCCCCTGCAATGCGATGGGGTCAGAGGGGAGAGCGGCTCCGAAAGGAAGCCAGAGGCTGGGGGGGCGGGGCCGCGGTGTGCAGGGGCGGGGCCGGCCGTGGTGGGCGGGGCCGCGCGGGCGGGCGGGGCCGGCCGGGCACCTTGATGGTGGTGGTGCTCCGCTCCTCGTATTTGCACTCGCAGAGCAGGCAGTAGGCCTCCACGTCGTGGCCGGGCACCGGCATGGGCTCCACCACGTGCAGGCAGTTGCTGCAACAGACAGAGGGCAGTGGGGGGCCAGGCGCGAGGTGGGGAAGAAGGCTCCCCAGGGAGGGCAGGGTCTCTGATAGGTTGGGGGCGGGGGCGGAACCCCTTTCCTGGCCCACAGCCTCAGGGCCCTTGCCCTCGGTGACTCACTGGGTGAGGGTCCCACTGGCACAAACTCCACCCCCACCCCACCTCCAGTCCCGAGGGTCCGAGGTCTGTCCCCACTGCAGACAGCGCCTCCACCAGCCGCTCCCCTGACCAGGCCAGGCCAGGAGCCACACCGACCCATGAATCCACCAAAGTACCCACCAATGACTCGGCCTCCTTCCAGGTCTCTGAACCCCACTTCCCTACCCCCTCCCACTCCTGCCTCCGCCGGGGCTGTGCCCTGGCCCTGGCCCTGACCGTGCCCTGACCCTGACCATGCCCCGGGCCTGAGCCTTCCAAGGAGCTGCAGGGGTAGTGCCAGATGACCCTCTAGGCCCTCCCCTTCCTGCTCTGACCTGAATCCTTGAAATCAACCAGCCTGTCCTCAGCTGCCCCAGGGCCCCTCAGGCTGAGGCTGGGTTTCTGATAGAGGCACCGACAGTGTGGGATGGCATGTCCTCCATTGCCTCTGTCCCCTTAGAAGTCCAGTATGTGGTGTGATTTTACCTAAACCCCTGATGACTCCAGTTCTCGCGCTGGGCGTGTGGCTCCCTACTCTAACTCAGCACAGCGCCCAGGGAGGGGCCGACAGACGGACAGGGTCAGGCCCACTCCCGGCACTGGGTAATCACTCCTGGGGCCTCCCATCTCAGGGGCCAAACTCCTGAGGCCCGGATTCCTCCCTGGGTCTGGGAGGTCACTCTGGCAGGTCAGCAGGATTTATGGGTTCCCCACCAGGGATGTGTTCTCCCCCTGAGAATCGGTGAAACCGTGACATGCACCTTCAGGGGGATCAGTTACAACACCTTAGGGGAGAGGGTCACAGAGGGGCCAGCTGGTTGAAGGCTGTCTTCTGCAGGTGATGTGGGTAACTTCTCTGGGCCTCGGGATCCTCATAGACAGAGCAGGCTGAACTATGCTCCCTGGCGCACCCTAGGGCCCTCTGTGCGGGAGGCTGGAGGGAGGGCAGTCCTGACTGCTTTACTCGGTGTGTTTCCAAACAGATTTGTTTGAAAAAAGGTTCTCTTTTTAGAAATATGGAAGACTTGCCCTAGCCAGCTTCTCAGGTGTTCTGCTGCTCTGGGGCTGCCCCACCCTCAGGACGAAGGTGTCGGGGTCTCTGCCCCTCGCAGAGACGGGAACCCCCACCACAAGATGGCAGAGCACGGCAACACAGAAGCAGCCCTGCGCAGCACAGACGCCCAGGCTTCCCCTGCTCAACCCGGGGCCCGTGGAAGGGGCTGAGGACAAGGCTGGGCTCCTCTGGCCCCGGCACCAGGGTCAAGGATCACAGGGCCAGGCCCCACGCCTCCTGAAGGGACTCTAGGCAGTCTGCGATGCCTCCCCTCGTGACAGCCCATGGCCAGGGTCACGGGGTCACAGGACCCTGGGGTCTAACGTCCCAGCATGTTTCCACCCACCAGCCTACATGGGATTGGAGCCCCCTAACACTGACTGCTCAGGAAGGAGATGAACCACAGCCTGAGAGGCCCAGTTAGGACCCTGTCCTCCAGGGGAATCCACGCTTGCGTTTTCAGGCCTTACTCTCGCCCCAGGACCTGAGGGGTGCAGCCTTATTACCTGGTGTCAGGCTGGGACAGTCTATCCTGATGCCATTTGAATGAAAACCACAAGATACAAAGGGGCTTCCCTGGTGGCTCAGAGGAAGAATCTGCCTACAATGCAGGAAACGGGTTTGATCCCTGGGTTGGGAAGATTCCCTGGAGAAGGAAATGACTACCCACTCCAGTATTCTTGCCTGGAGAATCCCATGGACAGAAGAGCCTAGCGGGCTATAGCCCATGGGGTTGCAGAGTTGGACATGACTTAGTGACTTAACAACAATGACGACAACCCACAAAAAGCATCAACTGTCCCTGGTCTGTCAGGAGGATGGCCCACTCTGCTTGTAGTGCCCACATCATCTCTGCTCTTTGCTCTTAATAAACACTCCTTTCTACAAGATTAATAAACACTCCTTTCTACAAGACTCTGTGTCTGGAAATTCTTCTCTAACTGCTCAGACTGCCACAATATACATTACTATCAGCCAACATTTATACAGCACTCACCACATGCCAGGAATTGTTCTAAGTGCTATACTTATAACACTGCACAAGCATGCATACACCCACACACACACTCTTATTCAAAACTCGGAATACTGCCACTGCTTTACAGATGAGGAAACAGAACACACTGGGGATTAAGTAACCAGTTTCCCAATGAACAAGGAGCAGAGCTGTTTGAAGGCGGGCAGGCTGGATCCAGGGTCTGCATCTGACCAGAATGGTTCTCAGAAAATCACACACTCTGACAACTCAGGGCTGGCAGGATGGGTTCAAATCCCCACGTGGTCTCTGGGCCATGGCACTGTGTCACAGTCGTGCCCCACCCCCCACAGTCACTGAATCCAAGTCTTTTGCGGGGAGGGGATCAACTGTACAGCGTGGTGACTACAGTTAACCACACTGTATTATATACACGGGAGAGCTGCTGAGAGGAGATCTTAAACGATCTACCACTCCCCACCCCACCACGGTAATCAGGCGAGGCAAGAGAGGTGTTATCTATATCTAACCTCACCCCACAATATGTGTGGATCATGTCATGCCATCCATTGAAACCTTAAACAACGTCGTGTATCTGATCTATCTCAGAAAAGCTGGCAACAACAAGAAGAACCCAAAAATCTCAAGGGAGGAGGTGCTGGAACTCTTTATTCTCTCAAAGCCCCCTGGTGATCCTGGACTCCCACCATGTGAAGGAACCCCATCCACAGGGACCTGGCCCAGGCATCAGCCCCCCTGTGCTCAGAGCCCTTAGGACACACGCCCCAGCTCCTGACATGGCCTGGATGCGGCCCCTCGCACCACACTGCAATCTGGTCCCCCGCCACTCTAACGCACCTATACGGAAGCCCCCGCAGAGCACACGACCACTCCCCGCCCTTTCAGATACCTGTGCCCTCAAAGCCTCTCCTTTAAGGACTCCAGGTCCTTAAACCACTCTTCCCAGGACAGCACGTTGAAACTTCCCTTCAACAAGCGGGCCTCCTTTCTCTGAATGAATGCTTATTTATTTCCCTCTTTTCTGAAGTGAGGCATCCAGAAGTGGATTCAAGACTCCAGGAGTAGAATGGACATTCTCTCTGGGCCTCCATCTCTGCAGTTATCACAGGAGCATGGCCTCACAAGGTGGTTACAACCCTGGCACCAAAGAACACAGCTAACAGAGCTTCGAGAAAACTCCCACAGTATGTGGCCCTGAAACCTCTCTCTCCCGATGTGTTACCATTCTGCAGACATGAACAAACATCCAAAACAAAGCAAAATCCACTCCTCCGACCAGGAACCCCTCAGATAGAAATAAAGACATCTGAGTCTTATTTCCAGTCAAATGTATGACCTGGGACAAAATATTCTTTTGTAAGGCTTTCTGTGGAAATGGGGGAGTGAGCTTATCCTCTGGGGGTCCACAAGGCCCAGTCAGCACCCACAACCTCAAGGGCCAGCCTGGGCAACACCTTACCAGTCCTTCTGTGACACATTCTGGTTGTAAATGTGCCCGCTGATGTTCCTATACGGCGGACAGATGCATTTACAACGGATGTCTTCAGAACTCTGCAAGAGAAGTCGCAGGTCAGGTGGGCAGGGTCACTGGGTTCAAGTTCAAGCAAGACTGTCAACTTTCAGCTCCCTCTTCCATAAAGTGACGATATGAACGCTCCTGACCTTCTCCCAGGCCCAAGTTCAGCAGAAATGACATCTGCAGGAAGGCTGCTACACCACAGGGTCCTCAAGAAACTGTCTGGGGCTGCAAATGACACTCACAGCTTCAGGGAGGGGCAAGCAAGGTGGCAGCCCTTTGCCCTGGGCCTCACACCTGTGTACCGGGGTCCAGCAGTCTTAGTGGCCGGCCTCTTCTCCCCACCCCACCTCCAACTTCTTAGGTAAGGGTCAGGGAAAGGAAAGGCTGGGGTGAACCACAGAAAGTGGATGTTTCCGTGGAAACACTCTAGCAAACCCTCTGGAAGTTTTCCCTCTCTGGAACAGGTTGGAGACAACACAGAATTTTCATTCCAGTTAGGAATTGCCCAGAGGAACTGGAAGCAAACCACAGACTCAGTCGGATTAAAAGCCTCAGTAATTTTCACAATCTCAAATTCCAGAGACCTACTCAAACCCAGCTCCAGGTCTTTATGCCTAAAGAATGAAACTGATCTCGAATCCCTGCTCAGAGGTAAGGACTCTCCACCCAGAAACCTGCTTCTGCACAAACCTCACACCCCTTACATTACACCCACTCCCTAGGTGACTTGAAGCTCCCAGTACAGCGGTGCTACTGGCACCAGTCCAAAGACATTCAAGAGCAAAGGAAGGTACAGAGAGCCTAAACAACTTCCCCAAACACAGGACCCTGTCTGGAACTCCATCTTGCGCGTTTCAGATTCAGACGTGGGCCCTGCGGACCACCCCTCCCCAGGGGCCTGCAGCCTAGGTCCGAGAGAACACGCCCCTAGCCCGGCACGGCCCGCAGGGCAGCGAGGGGCCGGGCTGGAGCAGTAGCCCCTCCACCCTCCTCCGGGACGCCGGGGCACAGGCAGGGTGGGCTGTGCATGGGCGTTGCACCTTGTTGGCTTGGGCTGGGGGCACCAGCAGACTTCCGACCACGGCCACCACACACAGGAGCTTCATCTTCTCGGGCCTTCACGGGACTGGCAAGATCCCCCACCTGGAAAAACGCAGGCGGGGAAGGGGCGGATGACCACGCGGCACCCTCGGCCCCGGTGCGAACCGGCCTGCTCCGGCACGGGAAGAGGGCGGGGGCTGGGCCCGGGGTCCTGAGCATGCCAAGCCTGGCCGCTCAGGCGCTTCCCTCTCGCCCGGGCCTCGGTCTCCCACTGCCCACCGCGCGGGCTCGGCGGCGGGGCCTCCTGGGCGGGAGGAAGAGCCTCGGATCTCCGGGACGAGGCCGGCGGGCGACCCCCGCCTCGCGTCTCCCCGCCCTCCCCCATCGCCACCCGCAGCTCCTCCCCCAGGGCGGAGGAGCCCCTGGGGCGATGAGTCTCCGAGCCCCGATCCCAGGACCAGGCCGCGGATCCGGGACCCTAGGACCCCCACAACCCCCGCTACCCCTCCCCCAACGCGCCCCTGCTAACCTGCAAGCCCCGCCGCGGCGGCACAAGACCCGACTGGTCCCGCCCCTCACGCTTCTATTGGCTGCCGGGGCGACCCCTCAACGCTACCTGGCTGTCTCCAAGGCAACAAGGCCCGCCTCCGCCGGGGCGCCGAGGATCCGCGCAAGGGAGAGGGAGGCATTTCTCAACCCGACCAAACAGGAAAAGGGAGCGTCGGCCAAGCGAACGAGCAGCGGGAGGGGAGTGGCCTCCTAGCGGCAGCAGAGTTCCACCTCCGAGGTCGCCCCTTGCAGTATTTAAAAGCCGGGGTTCTGGAGAGGACCTGGGCTGTTCAGTCTTGTCGTTTTATAGAGAAATGTCTTGATAAACCAAGACAACGATAAAAGCAAATTCAAGGGCTGTCTCCGCACTCACAATCCGGAAATGTTATTTGAGTCGCATGTTTGCTGCAGAGGCGGCCCCTTCCTTCTCCCACAGGAGGAGGGACCAGGGCGGCGAGAGGGGCTGGACCCGTGAAGGGTGCGCCCCGCAGCCCCCGGCCTTGCCCCCTGCCCGGTGCGGGTTCTGGACCCCGCAGGCGGGGGCAGGGTGTGCGGGAGGCGGGGGTGGGCCTTGGGCCTCTGGGCCGCTGAGGGGCAGGGGTGAGCTCGGTCCAGCAGCGAAGGGAAGAGAGTTGTCCCAGGCTGGGACGCCGACCCCGGTGAGGACATCTGGGCTTTGGCCCTGCTCTGCCACTGAGTAGTGGTGTGAGCCTGGAAGACACCTCCCCCCTCAAATTCCTTGTCTGTGAAGTACTTTGGCTGGATGCAAAGACCCTTTCAGTCCCTATGTTGGGGTTCCGGAGTCGGGGGGTGCTTAGTGTGGCCTGCATGGGGGTCAGCTGGGTCCAGGAGGCCTGAGTGGCCAGCCCCAGCCCTCCGCGGGCTCTGTGGACAGGGTGGGCGCTTCCTGTGGGGGTCATGGGGTTTGTGTGGGCTCCTCCTGCTGATGGGTGTCGCTCCCTGTATCCTCAGCACCTGCAGGGTCCCTGTGGCCCCGACTGGGTAGAATTTAAGTCCTCCCAGCAGGAGGACCGGCAGGAGGCACCCAATCCTAGTTCTTCCCTTTCTAGTTGGGGGAATTTGGGTGGTTGGTTTATCCTTTAGGGAGCCTCTGTTTCCACGTCCATTAAATGTGCATAAAGTGACCTACTTTCACGGTATAGCGAGTCTACCTGTGCAAAGCACTTGGAACAGTGCGGGCTCTCTCAATGGAGACCTCAGCTCATTCTGGAGGTCACAGTGGCTGCTTTGGGGAGCAGGCTGGGGCAGAGAATGCCTGCTATGTAGGGGCAGGAGGGACAGTTTAGGTCTTGGAAAAACACCTTGTCTATACCCATGAGTCAGAAGCTCAAGAACCACCAGGACTCGTTAGTGACTCTGAAGTTGGGGGAGACGCGTCCACCTGTGGGCCGGAGTCCTGAGCCCGTGAGTCTGCGCTAATCCGTTAGCGTCAGACTCCCAGCGGGTATTGAGGAATTGCTTGCTTTGTGGAAACCCACACATCTGGTAACAAAAGTATTGATTTAAATGGCTGAGTACAGTAAGGGATACAGGAGTGTCTTCCCCATTTTCACATCCCCTTTACACTCTTCAAAATTATTGAGGACCCCAAAAAGCTTTGTGTATATGGTCATATCTATCAATATTTATAGCATTAAAATTACAACAGAAATTTCACATATATTTGTTTTAGAGTGACAGTAATAGGACTTCTCTGATGGTCCAGTGGCTGTGAATCTGCCTGCCAATACAGGAGACACAGGTTCCTGGTCCCCGGTCAGGGAAGATTTCACATACTGTGAAGCACCTCAACCTTTGCACCCCAGCTACTGAGCCTGAGCTCTGGCGCCTGCACGCCACGCCTGCTGAGCCCGCGCGGCAGCTGCTGAGGCCGAGAGCTGCAGCCTCTGAGGCCTGTGTGCCTAGAGCCTGTGCACGTAGGCAGAGCGCAGCCCCGGCTGCAGCTGGAGAAAGCCTGAACGCGCAACGAAGATCCAGCGCAGCTGAAAGCAATAACAAAATCAATAAAGAGCTTTCTAAAAACTTACATTTTCCAAAAGAAAACAAATCAAGTGAGAAGAGTGGTGTTGTCTGACATTTTTTGGTAAATCTCCTCCGCGTCTGGTTTAGTAGGAGACAGCTGGGTTCACACATGTGCTTCTGCCCTCAGCCCCTTGTGAGATCACATGTCACCCACCCTCTGGGAAAGAGCACGGTGCACTTGCAGCGGAATGAGGGTGAACAAGGCAAATCCCCTCTTAGAATTGCTAGGAAACAGTTTGATCTCCCAAGAGAGCCTTGGGAATGCCCTGGGTCCTCAGATCACACTGTGAACACTGCTCATATACAAGCCCCAGACTCCTAACATGCTGTGGACTTTCTGGCAATCCCCCATGATAGTGTTTTTCAAAATATGTTCCCTGGAATAATATCACGGGATGTTACTGTGGGGGGGTGGAGAAATGTGGTTTCTATGAATAAATCAGTTTGGGAAGCCTTGCATGCCAAGTTACTTCAGTGGTGTCCAACTCTGCAACCCCATGGACTGCAGCCCACCAGGCTCCTCTGTCCATGGGGTTCTCCAGGCAAGAGTACTGGAGTGGGTGGCCATTTTCTTCTCCAGGGGATCTTCCCGACCCAGGGATCGAATCTGAGTTTCTTACGTCTCCTGAATTGGCAAGGGGGTTCTTTACCACTGGCGCCACCTGGGAGGCCCTTTGGGAAGCTTCTTGGGAGACCTTAGTTTGAAGCAAATTGCACATATGGATTTTACTACAGGGTTTTTTAGAATGCTTCAGTGTGATAACACACATTGTGAATCCCTTTAAAAATACATATAATTGTGTATGATATTTCCCCAACATTTTGATGATAAATTCTTTTTTATTTTATTTTTTTTTGAGAAGCATCTTTAAAGACTCATGTACCAAGGAGCATACTTTGGGAAGTGCTGCTCCAGTAACTCCTGGGTACTTTTCCTGAGTATCAGCAGATAGGACTCTACCATTTGGAATCCATTTTTCTGTAAGTTAAAGTCTATATGCACACTTTTTTGGAAAAGAACTTTTTTGGTTCTTTAAATGCAGAGACATTTTTGGTAGTCACATCTAGGACTCAGAGAAGCTTGGGCTCCTAAAATTTTGGCCTCTGGATAAGCTACATTTTCCTGCAAATGAAACAGAAAGAATATCAGCAATTCTGTTAGTAGTGATGTTTATAAATATATCTGATGAATGAATGAATGATAGTGACCATTTCTCAAGCATCTTCTACGCACCAGGAACCTTTTTAAAAGACACGGTAGTCAAGACTGTGCGCTGTTGGTGGAGGAATGGACGCATAGATCAATGGAACAGAACAGAAGACCCGGGAATAGGTCCATGCAAATATATGTGACCGATTTCTGACAAAAGTGCAAAGCAGTGGAGGAAAGATAAACTTCTCGACCAACAGTGCCGGGGCGGGTGGACCTCCAGAGACAGAACAGTGAGCCTGGGCTGAAGTACTCAATGCACAGGGGCTCACAGACAAATAGGGACGGGATGCCTCTCCTGGGAAGCGACAGTCAGGGTCCCCGCGCACCACCCTGCTCTCGCATGTCAGGGTGACACCTCGGTGCTGAGAGAATGAGTATGTGACACATCTCATCAGGAATCCTCTCCGCCGGCTCTAGCTTAGCTTCAGAAGTGACAACGCATCCCCCTGGATGCTTCAGTTCTCCAGCAGCACACATGACACGTCCTCACCCGCGGGGGGCAGGGCTGGGGCGCCAAAGCGCTGGGCACACGACTCCCTGAGGGACAGGTGGGCGGGGGGACGCGCCACCCACCACGGTGTCGGGTGCCCGCTGAGCGTCCAGCGCTGCCTTGGGCACCGAGACTCTTTAAGCCAGTGCAAAAATGGAAAGGTTACATACTTGCACCTTCAGATGCAAAGGGCAACTGCAGCGCCCGGGGCAGGACGGGCTGGCCGGCCCCGGAGGACACCCTTCTGGCCTGGGCCCCTGCCACCCTCGCGTGGCCCCCGCGCCACCCATGGGCCACTTCACATCTTGACGGTCTGATCGCCACCCTCCACCTGCAAGGCCCTGCTTACGACCAGAGGCTGGAGTCCCCTGGGGAGGTGGTGCCCCCAGAATGAGGACAGCTCTGTCCTGGGCCAGCAGCTGTCACCTGAGAAAGACTGAGGGCCCCTACCCAGCCACAAGGCTTGTTGTGCCCAGACGGGCGCAGCTCAGATTCCAAGCAGTGGTAATTAACCTCGAAAAAATGTGACAAGTCCCTGGGCCCGCCCTGCAGCCACTGCCCAGCCCTGGGCCTTCTTGGCAAGGCCCCGGGTCTGGGTCTGGCAGACGGGGGGAGAAAACTGGGAGGGAGGTCTCCTCCCTTTCCTGGAGCCACGGGGTGGCCAGCGTGGTTCCGTGCGGGTCCCGGCTCCAGCGCTAGCCCCCGGCCCACCCAAGATGGCAGCTGGAAGCAGAGACTTGGGGCAGGAAGCAGCAGGGCACTGCGGGGGGCACTGCCCGAGGGCTCTGGCGCCAGCCTGACTTTCTGAGCCCTGAGGTCACCGCTCCAGCGGTCCGCAGAGACACTCATCCATGGCTTTGAACCATCATCACTCCGCCCTATGTACCTCTCACCACTGGAGGGACCGGGGCAGGGCTGGGGTCGGTTCAGCACAAGGCCACCGTGGGACTGAGCCTCAGGGGTGGGGGCTGCCCCTGCTCCAGATTGCAGCCTCTCTCTGGACTCAGTTTTCCCACCTGTTCAATGGGTGAGACCAAGCTGGTTGCACGTCACTGCCTTATAAGGATGAAAGAGAGACCCCACTGAGATTGAAAAGCTAAAGCCCGCCAATCTGGAGTAAAGAGGTCTCCTCTGCGTGGGACCCTCACACCCCTCTGGCTTGCCTGCTATTTTCCCTTTGCAAAGTCTGTATCGACTTGAAGGACCCCCAGCTACCTGCTTGTCCAGGGGAGGGGGAGGTGGGGGTGCTCTCCTGGGCGAGGGCTTCTGATTCCCGGGCCCTGTCTCAGGGATGCTGAGTGGGAGGGCGGGGAGGGAGACGCTGTAAAGGTCCCGGTGAGGCGGCGGCTCCTGTGACACACCAGGACGCTGAGGCCAGACAGGGCATGTGACCTGCCCGAGGGACACAGCTGCCGGCCAGGGTCGCTCCGGAATGGCCTCCCTAACCAACCTGCCCCCGCCCCCCGCAAGGAGTCGGCTTCCGGGGTTTGGGCCCTTCTGCCCAGGGGCTGGTGGACTGGCTTGGGCTTCAGGAGTGGTTCAGCGCAGTGGTGCGTTCTCTGACGCTGTCCTCACGCCGGGGCCAGCAGGCTGGGGGGCGGTGAAGAGTGTTCCCTGGTGGGGGTTCGGCGAGGGGGGAGCGCTCGGCCCCCGCGCTCGATCAGTTTACAGCATGCTGTTAATAGAGGCCATCAATCACGGCCACGGGCAGCTGGCTCAGACAGGGGCCTCCTTCTCTTTCAGTTACCCCGAACCAAAAACCCGTCCCGGGAAGCTGGTGGGAACACGTGCTCTGGACGTGGTGACGTGCACGACTGGGGTCTCCCTCTTGCTACGCGCCCCCCCCAGATGCCCTGGCCTGAGCAGAGCTCCCGACACGGTCGCTGGCGCACAGTAGGTGCTTACTGACTGCTTTAGAAGGGAGTCCGTATTTGGGAGGCTTTGCACCCCACCCCCAACCACCAGGAGAGAGGGAAGGAGAGGTTCTGGGGGCTTCAGCTGCTGGCTGGACGCGAGATTCCTGCAGCCATTAGTGCCGTGAGGGCAGAGAGGCAGCCCCTTAGCATGGGACAGATTCTGCCCTGCCAGGGGCAGCAGGCTGGGGCCCCGGCCGGGCCAGTGTGCTCACGATGTGAGCATCACAGTCAGAGCTTCCTTCTCTCTCCACAGCCTCGGAGTCAGAGGGCTCTGGGTCCTGAAGTCCAAAGTGCCTCCAGGATTTCTCGGGGTCAAGACCAGGAAGACCGGCCTTCTGGGCCTGCCCACAGAGTCCTGGATTTCTCAGAACAGAGCGGGTAGGAAGGCCAGCTGTCCTGTTCTAGAATGTTCTACCACAGTCAGGCTGTGCCCCAGAGCAACCACTGAGCCATCGGGTCCCCTCAAGGTCTAAATCAGAGGAAGTATCTGCCACTTCTTTTGCCAGCTACTTGTTGTGATGCTTGAGCCTAGAACATCAGCAAGTGAGTATATTTTAGGAGAAAGGATTCACCATGACTACTTGTTGTGATGCTTTAGCCTAGAACAGCAAGTGAATATAAATTAGGAGAAAGGATCACCTAACTGGCTGGGATCCCCGCACCACGCGCAGGGACTCCCCCACGCCAGCCGCTCTGCTACATGTTACTCAGATATCATCTCACTTACCATTCCCAACAACCGCGCAAAGCAGGTGTTATTTCATCCTCATTTTGCAAGTGTGGAAACGGACCTGGAGAGAGGTTGAATTATCTGATCAAAGTCCCAAAGCAGGAAGTGGCAGGGCTGGGTTTCCCGCCCGGCTGTCCGGCTCCAGGGACCACGCTGCAGCCGCTCGGAGAGGACGGGCCTGGGGCGAGGCTCCCGGCCGTGGTGGTCAGACTCAGTCCTCACCCAGAGGCTGCCCTCCAGCCACAGGTGCGGCTATCCCCGGAGCGGGGCCAGCCGGCCTCACACCCTCCCGAGAGAGGCCCTGGCTCCCCGGCCTCACTGGCTTTCCTTTCCGCCCCGTCCCCAGACTGGTCCGGCCTCGCGAAGAAGGCCGTCAGCTGTTGTCGTGGGCCGGCAGAGGGCTGTGCAAACTCCACGGGATTAGGGGTGTTGACGGACGAGGCAGCCGCCAGGCAGCGGGATCACTTGACAGGCATCTCCGTTTCACTGCCCCCAGGGCCGAGCCTCGAGCCTGCTGCCCGCTCCCGCCCTGGCCTCCCCGTGACCCGGCCCTTCTCCTTCCCAGCCACCCCGCCCCGCACAGCTGCTGTTTTCCTGAGACCCTCCAGGTTCTCCCTGGCCACCTGGTGCCAGCTCACTCCAAGGGCTAAGAAGCCCCCATCTCCTCCTCCCTGCCCACCGAAAGCTCTCCCTGAAAATCTCCCTGGCAGGACATTCCTCAGGAAACTGGTCAACAGGCCTCAGCCATGGCAAAGCCATGAGACCAGTGCTTTGCTGAGATGGGAAGGGTGGAGAGCGGCAGGTCTCCAGGAATTTACTGAGGGTCCTCACAGGCTTTGAGGTGCTCTGTGCACCTCGCCCAGAGGTCTGCAGGCTGCTTTTTCAGGCCTTACAAGCTCCCTGGAAGCCACTCTCTCCTGTTGTAACACAGAAGCAGTGTTAGAAGACATGTCAGTGAAAGGGCGAGGCTGTTTCCAGTAAAACCTTCCTGACAAAGACAGGCTGCACTGGATTTGGCCTGGGGGCTAGGGTCACCGACACCGCCCCCCCGGCGGGGCACAAAGCACACCCCTGCAGATCCTGAGCGGACGGAGGCCTCTGGGGAGCAGGGTCGGGGCTGCTGCTGGAAGCACCGGGAATGGGGCCCCAAGGTGCCGACGCCTGGGGGGAGCCCTGGGGGCCTGCGCAGGTCAGAGGGGGAGGCCCCGCCTGATCGTGGGCTGACACCCTCAGCTGCTGCAGGGCTTGGGAGAGAACCCGAGGCCAGGGCTCCTGAGGCTGTGGCTGGTGAGGACTTCCCTGTCCTTGATAGGGAGGGGCCGGAGGAAGCCTCCCAGATAGGATTATTTCTTCTCCTCTGGGGCATCTTTCTCTTTTCTACCTGGAGGCCTCTGCAGATGCTGTTCCCTCTCCTGGAACACTCTTCCTTCATTTTCCTCCTTGTAGCTCAGTTGGTAAAGAATCTGCCTGCAATGCAGGAGACTGGGGTTCAATCCCTGGGTTGGGAAGATCCCCTGGAGAAGGAAATGGCAACCCCACTCCAGAGCTCTTGTTTGGAAAATCCCATGGACAGGGGAGCCTGGCAGGCAACAGTCCATGGGGTCACAAGTGTCGGACACGAAGTAGTGACTAAACCACCACCAATCCCTGCTCCTCCTGTCACTTTCTCCAGGAAGGCTCCTCAGACTGTCTTGTCCCTGGGGTCACCCCACATGCTCCCTCTGAACCTTGAAAGTCCCCTTCAGTTCAGTTCAATTCAGTCGTTCGGCTGTGTCCAACTCTTTGTGACCCCATGGACGGCAGCAAGCCAGGCCTCCCTGTCCATCACCAACTCCCAGAGCTTACTCAAACTCATGTCCATCGAGTCGGTGATGCCATCCAACAATCTCATCCTCTGTCATCCCCTTCTTCTCCCACCTTCAATCTTTCCCAGCATCAGGATCTTTTCAAATGAGTCAGCTCTTCACATCAGGTGGCCAAAGTACTGGAGTTTCAGCTTCAATATCAGTCCTTCCAATGAACACCCAGGACTGATCTCCTTTAGGATGGACTGGTTTGATCTCCTTGCAGTCCAAGGGACTCAAGAGTCTTCTCCAACACCACAGTCCATAAGCATCAATTCTTTGGCACTCAGCTTTATTTAGAGTCCAACTCTCATATCCATACATGACCACTGGAAAAACCATAGCCTTGACTAGACAGACCTTTGTTGACAAAGTAATGTCTCTGCTTTTTAATATGCTGTCTAGGTTGATCATTACTTTTCTTCCAAGGAGTAAGCGTCTTTTCATTTCATGGCTGCAGTCACCATCAGCAGTGATTTTGGAGACCAAAGAAATAAAGTCAGCCACTGTTTTCCCATCTGTTTGCCATGAAGTGATGGGACCAGATGCCATGATCTTTGTTTTCTGAATGTTGAGCATTAAGCCAACTTTTTCACCCTCCTCTTCCACTTTCATCAGGAGGCTCTTTAGTTCTTCTTCACTTTCTGCCATAAGGGTGGTGTCATCTGCATATCTGAGATTATTGATATTTCTCCCGGCAGTCTTGATTCCAGCTTGTGCTTCTTCCAGCTCAGCGTTTCTCATGATGTACTCTGCATATAAGTTAAATAAGCAGGGTGACAATATACAGTCTTGATGTACTCCTTTTCCTATTTGGAACCAGTCTGTTGTTCCACGTCCGGTTCTAACTGTTGCTTCCTGAACTGCATACAGATGTCTCAAGAGGCAGGTCAGGTGGTTTCGTATTCCCATCTCTTTCGGAATTTTCCACAGTTTATTGTGATCCACACAGTCAAAGGCTTTGGCATAGTCAATAAAATTCCCCTTACCTCATTGTACTTGAAACTATGCACCTCACATTGCCTTTTCATACTGTTGAATTTAATACAGATGACCATTATATCTACTCCTGTGGGCAAGAATCCCTTAGAAGAAATGGAGTAGCCATCATAGTCAATAGAAGACTCCAAAATGCAGTACTTGGATGCAGTCTCAAAAATGACAGAATGATCTCAGTTTGTTTTCAAGGTAAACCATTCAATATCACAGTAATCCAAGTCTATGCCCCAACCAGGAATGCTAAAGAAGCTAAAGTTGAATAGTTCTGTGAAGACCTACAAGACCTTCTAGAACTAACACCCCAAAAAGATGTTCTTTTCATCATAGGGGACTGCAGGAAGTCAAGAGATACCTGGAATAACAGGCAAATTTGGCTTTGGAGTACAAAATGAAGCAGGTCAGAGGCTAACAGAGTTTTTCCAGGAGAACATACTGGTCATAGCAAACACCCTCTTCCAACAACAAAAGAGAAGACTCTACACCTGGACATCACCAGATGGTCAGCACTGAAATCAGACTGATGATATTCTTTGCAGCCAAAGATGGAGAAGCAAAACAAGACCGGGAGCTGACTGTGGCTCAGATCATGAGCTCCTTATTGCCAAATTCAGACTTATATTGAAGAAAGTGGGGAAAACCACTAGACCATTCAGATGTGACCTAAATCAAATCCCATACAACTATACAGTGGAAGTGAGAAATAGATTTAAGGGACTGGATCTGATAGACAGAGTGCCTGATGAACTATGGACAGAGGTTTGTGACATTGTACAGGAGGCAGTGATCAAGACCATCCCCAAGAAAAAGAAATGCAAAAAAGGCAAAATGGTTGTCTGAGCAGGCCTTACAAATAGCTGAGAAGAGAAGCAAAAAGCAAAGGAGAAAAGGAAAGACATACCCTTTTGAATGCAGAGTTCCAAAGAATAGCAAGGAGAGATAAGAAAGGCTTGCTCAGTGACCAATGCAAGGAAATAGAGAAAAACAATAGAATGGGAAAGACTAGAGATCTCTTCAAGAAAATTAGAGATACCAAGGGAACATTTCATACAAAGATGGGCTCAATAAAGGACAGAAATGGTATGGACCTAACAGAAGCTGAAGATATTAAGAGGAGGTGGCAAGAATACACAGAAGAATTGTACAAAAAAGATCTTCATGACCCAGATAACCATAATAGTGTGATCACTCACCTAGAGCCAGACATCCTGGAATGTGAAATCAAGCGGGCCTTAGAAAGCATCACTACAAACAAAGCTAGCAGAGGTGATGGAATTCCAGTTGAGCTATTTCAAATCCTAAAAGGTGATGCAGTGAAAGTGCTGCACTCAATATGTCAGCAAATTTGGAAAACTCAGCAGTGGCCACAGGACTGGAAAATGTCAGTTTTCATTCCAACCCCAAAGAAGGTCAATGCCAAAGAATGTTTAAACTACCGCAAAATTGCACTCATTTCACATGCTAGCAAAATAATGCTCAATATTCTCCAAGCCAGACTTCATCAGTATGTGAACCATGAACCTCCAGATGGGTAAGCTGGATTTAGAAAAGGCAGAAGAACCAAAAATCAAGTTGCCAGCATCTGTTGGATCATTGAAAAAGCAAGAGAATTCCAGAAAAGCATCTACTTCTGCTTTATTGATTACACCAAAGCTTTTCACTGTGTAGATCACAACAAACTATGGAAAATTCTTCAAGAGATGGGAATACCAGACCACCTTACCTGCCTCCTGAGAAATCTGTATGCAGGTCAAGAAACAACAGTTAGAACTGGACATGGAGCAACAGACTGATTCCACATTGGAAAGGAGTACGTCAACACTGTATATTGTCACCCTGCTTATTTAACTTATATGCAGAGTACATCATGTGAAATGCCAGGCTGGTTGATGTGCAAGCTGGAATCAAGATAGGTGGGGGAAATATCAATAACCTCAGATTAGGTGGGGGAAATATCAATAACCTCAGATACACAGAGACACCACCCTTATGGCAGAAAGTGAAGAGGAACTAAAGAGCCTCTTGATGAAAGTGAAAGAGGAGAGTGAAAAAGTTGGCTTAAAGCTCAACATTCAAAAAACTAAGATCATGGCATCTGGTCCCATCACTTCATGGCAAATAGATGGGGAAACAATGAAAACAGTGGCAGACTTTATTATTTTGGGGCTCCGAAATCACTGCTGATGGTGACTGCAGCCATGAAATGAAAAGACGCTTGCTCCTTGGAAGAAAAGCTATGACCAGCTTAGACAGCATATTAAAAAGCAGAGACATTACTTTGCCAATAAAGGTTCATCTAGTCAAAGCTATGGTTTTTCCAGTAGTCATGTATGGATGTGAGAGTTGGACCATAAATAAAGCTGAGTGCCAAAGAATTGATGCTTATGAACTATGGTGTTGGAGAAGACTCTTGAGAGTCCCTTGGATTGCAAGGAGATCCAACCAGTCCATCCTAAAGGAGATCAGTCCTGAATATTCACTGGAAGGACTGACGCTGAAGCTCCAATATTTTGGCCACCTGATGCGAAGAACTGACTCATTGGAAAAGACCCTGATGCTGGGAAAGATTGAAGGCAAGAGGAGAAGGGGATGACAGATAATGAGATGGTTGGATGACATTGCCGATTCATTGGACATGAGTTTGAGTAAGCTCCAGGAGTTGGTGATGGACAGGGAAGCCCGGCGTGTTGTAGTCCATGGGGTCGCAAAGAGTTGGACACGACTGAGCAACTGAACTGAACTGAACCTCACATTGGGACTTGATCCCGTGATCTTTTAACTGAGATAACACACCTGATCTCAGAACTTCATGAAGCTCAGATTCTTGCTGTCTCATGGCAGAAAGAATTCAGTGAGAGACAAAGTGATAGGTAAGAAGTGGATTTATTTAGAGAGAAACACTCTGTACAGAGTGTGGGTCATCTGAGAAGTTGAGAGAGGCTCCAAAATCTGGTATGGTTAGTTTTCATGTGCTGAGTAATTTCATAAACTAATGAGTGGGAGGATTATTCCAGGTATTTTGGGGAAGAGGTGGGATTTCCAGGAATTGGACCACCACCCACTCACTCCAATATTCTTGATTGGAGAATCCCACGGAGAGAGGATCCTGGCGGGCTACAGTTTACTGGGTCGCAAAGAGTAGGACACGAGTGACATGAGTTGGATGGAAGTGACTAAGTACATACATACTTCACTTTTTGGTATTTGGTGGTCAGTCTCAGAACAGTCGTGCTGACTCTGGGTGCGTCACGTAGCTTGCCTTGTGTCACAGTGAGTGTACACTGAGGCTCCAGGTCCAGTGGAGGTGGTCTCATCTGCCATCTTGGACCCATTTGTTCGAATCAGTTTATGGCATGTCCTCAGGCTATTTCATTCTTTCAGAAGTTGAGACCTGCCCCCTTCCCTCCTGCTTCATGATCGCATGCTTTCCCGGATCCCCGGCTAGAATGTGAGTCAGACTGAAAACCCCAGAGGCAGGACCCCAGCTCTCTCCCAGCACACAGCAGCTGCTTGACAAATACTGATGCAGTGAATGCATGGATCTCACCCGCGTCACAGGCAGAGATTTCCCATAACTACCGTGGGAATAAATGTGTGTGCCACAGCCTCTTTAAACTGCCCAAGAAGCTGGAGGGGGCAGAGGTCCTGCTGTAACAGGAGGGAAAGGGGCAGGGCACAACTTTAGAAAGAATGACATCACCCAGGGACACAACATAAACCGATTAGAATCAAATGGGACCATAGGCTAGACCTCGATGCTCAATCCCAAGTGAAATGACAAACCCAGAGGTGCCATGACGATTCCAAGGCATTCTTGAAAGACCAAATCCGGGACATCTCCACCCCTTTCCCCAAACAGCTGGAATAATCCTCTCACCATTAGCATATGAATTGCCCAGCTCATAAAAACTAACCACGCCAAATTTCGGGGCTGCACTCACCCTCTGCCGTGGCCCACACTCTGTCTGTGGAGTGTACTTCTCTTTGAATCGGAATAAATCTGCTTCTTACCTGTCACTTTGTCTCTCATTGAATTCTTTCTGCGATGAGACATCAAGAACCTGAGCTTCATTAGGTCCTGAAACCAGGTACCATGGGTTTTGGCTGGGTTCGAGTCCCAGCACATGGGTTTGAGTCCCAGTCTGGGGTAAACGGTTACCCCCAAAATTGGGTTTGCCTTTTGGTGAGTGTTGAGCCAGAAGACACAACCAAGCCAGAGATCAGAAGGAAGGGTTATCATTATTTTTCCTGTAACAAGTTAAGAAGAAAACTGGGATCTTTCCCAAAGTGGTGTCTCCTCGGCAGTAGGACTCGGGGGTTTTTAAGCTAGGGGCTCAGGTATGCTCATGAAGGGGCTTGAGCAGGGGAGAAGTCAGCACATGATCGGGTAGCGGTACACAGAGCCCAGCCTTTAGCTGATTGCAGTTGTGGGATCAGAAAAGGTCAGCGTCCTCCTCCCGTGTGTCCCTGTCTATCCGGTGGCCGAGCTTCAAGCTGATCTTCACCATTGACTCAGAGCTGGAGTCTTCACAACTGATGTGTTGTCAACCGTGTGTCCCTGTCTATCCGGTGGCCGAGCTTCAAGCTGATCTCACCATTGACTCAGAGCTGGAGTCTTCACAACTGATGTGTTGTCAACCGTGTGTCCCTGTCTATCCGGTGGCCGAGCTTCAAGCTGATCTCACCATTGACTCAGAGCTGGAGTCTTCACAACTGATGTGTTGTCAACCGTGTGTCCCTGTCTATCCGGTGGCCGAGCTTCAAGCTGATCTCACCATTGACTCAGAGCTGGAGTCTTCGGTTGTCCCTGCTGTTGTCACAGCTCTTGCCCAGTAACGATTTGTTCTCAAGGGAACCCGTTGAGAGTGTTGGTTTCTAAGACCCCTTCAAGGACAAGCACTGTGTCCAGGCTCAGATCACAAAGTGGCTCAGGCCAAAAATGGCTTCTCTTCTGTCAGGAAGGGCTCCGCCCAGTTCTCTCTCCAGGGGCGCCCACCTTCTCTGTTCACAGTCCTTTCTGTGGTGATAGAGACAGTCTTTCCATTTCAGCTCCGTTCCATGGACTGACATCTGAGCACATGCCCGGGTTGTCTGGACGGAGGCTGGAACCTTCTCTCAGTGGCCTTCGCCTGGGGAGGGCAGGCGTTGGGGCGATGCTTTCCTCAGCTTTGCTGAAACGAGGCTTCCCGCCTCCCTCGTGCCCTGTCACTTCCTGTCAACTAAAACACATGCACAACTTGAGACTTGTGAGTGAAGTTTTATTTGGGGCAAAATGAGGGCTGTGGATGAGGATGTGGATGTGGATGTGCCCAGGAGACAGCACGTCAGACAGCTCTGAGAGGCTGCTCTGGAGAGGAGGTGGGGAAGGTCCGCAGATAAGAAAATGGCGAAGGGGGCGTTCAGCGCAATCAAGCTCTTACTTCACAAAAGGATTTCTGCTAGTCATGTGGAGCTGATGTCACCATGAAGGGATTTAGTGGTTTTCCAGATATGAGGAGATACAAGGACTGGGATCAGGAAGCCAGTTCCTGAAAATATCTAACTATGTAGAGACCTGCCTGCCGGGCACCAGATTCCCTGGAGCAGAGCGCCTCACTCCACCCTGAACTCCCTCAGAGGGTCGTGAGGTCAACAGCTGCAGCAACGCGGCGTTCAGTCTCCACAGAGGCAGATGGCAAACACTGTTGTTGGTCAGTCGCTGGTAAATGCTCTTGGCAAGTGCCAACTGTAGTTGACACCTTCACAAGTGGGAAGTTACTGTGTTTGTGGTGTATGCTTGTGGGGTGTGTACTTATAACGTGTTCATGGTGTGTGGGCTTCCCTGGTGGTTCAGAGGGTAAAGCGTCTGCCTGCAATGCGGGAGACCTGGGTTTGATCCCTGGGTGGGGAAGATCCCCTGGAGAAGGAAATGGCAACCCACTCCAGTATTCTTGCCTGGAGAACCCCATGGACAGAGGAGCCTGGTGGGCTACCACGTGTGGGCTCGACTGAGCGACTTAGCTTTCACTTTCGCTTTCACGGTGTGTGTCCGTTGGGGGCTGTGATGTGCTTGTGGCAGTGTCCAAGCTCCAACTGCTTGCGCCATGACAGGCCAATTAACAGAGATGAGGTGCCGAGGCGAGGAATATGACTTTAGTCAGAAAGTGATCTGACTGAGAAGATGGCCAAATAATGTCTCCAATTATAACCATCTTGTTGGGGTTTGGGTGCCAGTTTCTTTTATAGGACAGAGAAGGGGAGGAGGTGAGGAAAGAAAGACCATTATCTTTCAAATATCTCCAGGAATGGCCAACCTCAGAAAGGGGTATGTTAATCTCTTCAACAGAGGGGTGGGGCTCCCCAGGAGGTCATTATGTGTTATTATAATAACAAAAGCAATGAAAAACAAAGGTTAAAGTCACAGATATAAACTTATATGCTTATTTAACTTATATGCAGAGTACATAATGAGAAACGCTGGGCTGTATGAAGCACAAGCTGGAATCAAGATTTCCAGGAGAAATATTAATAATCAGATGATGCCACCCTTATGGCAGAAAGTGAAGAGGAACTAAAGAGCCTCTTGATGAAAGTGAAAGAGGAGAGTGAAAAAGTTGGCTTAAAGCTCAAAATTCAAAAAATTAAGATCATGGCATCCAGTCCCATCACTTCATGGCAAATAGATGGGGAAACAATGGAAACAGTGACAGACTTTATTTTCTTGGGCTCCAAAATCACCGCAGATGGTGACTGCAGCCGTGAAATTAAAAGATGCTTGCTCCTTGGAAGAAAAGCTACAACAAACCTAGACAGCATATTAAAAAGCAGAGGCATTACTTTGCCCACAAAGGTCCATCCTGTCAGAGCTATGGTTTTTCCAGTAGTCACGTATGGATGTGAGAGTTGGACCATGAAGAAAGCTGATGCATTTGATCTGTGGTGTTGGAGAGTCCCTTGGACTGCAAGGAGATCAAATCAGTCCATCGTAAAGGAGATCAGTCCTGAATACTCACTGGAAGGACTGACGCTGAAGCTGAAGCTCCAATACTTTGGCCACCTTGTTTCTCCGTTTATTTGCCATGAAGTGATGGGACTGGATGCGAAGAGCTGATCATTGGGAAAGACCCTGATGCTGGGAAGGACTGAAGGCGGGAGGAGAAGGGGACGACAGAGGGTGGGATGGTTGGATGGCATCACTGACTTGATGGACATGAGTTTGAGCAAGCTCCGGGAGTTGGTGATGGACAGGGAGGCCTGGCGTGCTGCGGTCCGTGGGGTCACAAAGAGCTGGACACCCTGAGAGACTGAACTGAAAGTCACAGAAACAGCCCCAGCATGGAGTCAGACTTGGCATCCCTGTCTGTGAAGGAACCCTCCGGAGAGTGGACGTTATCTCTGAGTGGTTGGAGGGGTCTTCTTGTTAAAGGGGGGTTTCTGGACTCGCCTGTTGTTAGCTCACTGGCTGTATCTGGGTCAGGATTCCGCGGCCCCCACCCCCCGGCTGGGGCACGGAGGCCGGGCTTACGGTCCAGGGGCCCTGAAGTACCCCCGTGGGCACAGTAGCTGTCCCCACAGAACCAGCTCCAGGCTAACCCGTGTCCCCAGTGGACGGGAGGGGTGGACATGGGTGCTGTAAAGTTGTGTAGCCTGGGAGGCAAGTTGAAGAAAATGGGGTCCAAAGCCCGTGGGAATTTGAATTGAGATCGCAGCGCACCTCCAAGCCTACTGTCTGGCTCCTGCTGTGTCCCTTGGCCCCTCCCCTGTCGTGGTCCCTGCAGGGGTAGCGCTCCCTGCCAGCCCAGGACCACCCCCCAGGGCTGAGGTCCAGAGAGGCTGCTTGGGCTCCACGTGCTGGCGGGAGGGGCAGACGGGGAGGGGGACCGAGAGAGGGTCCCCCTGTTTTCAAGGCTGTTCTCCTTCATGCCCACTTCTGCTCACCTCTCAGTGAGCCTGTCTGAGGATGTCTGTCAGCTCTTCGTTGGGGCCAGGCTACACGGCCAGTGTCACAGCCCCAGGGCCCCCAGGGTCACAGCCCCACTACACCAGCCTGCGACTGGGCAGTGGCTGCCTCTTTTGATTTCAGGGTTCTGGGTCTTTGATGGGATGACCTTTGGGTGGGGGTGGGGGGGAGGCGGACCGCAACTGGGATGAGCCTGCCTGCCAACTCAGCGAGGCCTTGGTGATGAGCAAAACAGCAAAAAATAGATCTCAGACAAAGACATCATCTCTCCTATTCCTGGCCTCTGCTCTGCTACTCACCTCGGGGACCCTGGAGGCAGGAGTCTGACTGCCCTCGGGGCCTTCCCGGCCCCGCAGTCACCTGCTTTCTCGACTCCAGGCCACTCTGCAGCCTCTTGCCTCCTGTCCTCGCCAGAGAGCGGCCCTGGCAGAAAAGCTGACGAAGCAATTAACAGCCTGGCTGGCTCATGAAACGCCAGCGCTAAGACCCGTTAAACCTTCTCCAGCTGTCAAGGGCACCGCCCGTAGGTCACACGGGAAGGACACTGGGCCTGGCTCCCCGGCAGCCCCGGGCCGGCCACGGCCACCGTCCCACCTGCCAGGCCCGACCCTCCCCTCTCCTCGGGTCATCTGCGAACACGTGATCAGCTGCATCTGCTCAGGTTTCTGCCTGAAGGCTCCCATCTCCTGGCGCGGCTCCCAAGGCTGAGTGACTTCCGGGAGGCACCCAAGGATGGGGTGGTGGGGATGACCAGAGGGAGACGGTGGCACCATCCTCTCCTCGGGGGGCGCAGAGGACAGAGGGGACCGCACGCAGGCGGGCGGCCTGGCGTGTGTGCGACGCTGGAATGGCACCAGCTGGAACGGGAGGACAGGGGGCAGTGTGGGTGAAGAGGGATGAACCAGGGAAGGATTCTGGCAGAGGAGGGCCTTCGCAGGCTTTAAAGAATGGTGCTTGACAGAAAGAAAATGACCCCGCTTCAGGGAGGATTAAGTGACATCCAAACAGGGCTCAAGGCAACTGGGGGTCCCTCGGGTGGGCAGGACCACAGCCCTTGGAGGTTTGCTGGCCAGTGCAAGACTCTTCTCTGCAGATCGGACCCAGGCAGCGCCTCCATCCCAAGGCTAAGTCGCCTGGTGCCAAGGTGTGGGTGCGTCCTCGGGGCCCAGCGGGGCGCACGGCCTAGCTCCTGCATGAGGTGTGCAGGCAGCCCCTCCCCACCCCGCTCCCCTGAACCACGTGGCTGGTGGGCTGCCCTGGTCAGCCGTGCTCCTCCTGTTGCCCTCCTTCCTTTCGGCTGCACTGTGCCACACGGCACGTGGGATCTCAGTCCCCGACCTGGGGTTGAACCTGCGACTCCTGCAGTGGAAGCACAGATTCCTAACCTCTGAACCACCGGGAAAGTCCTCACCAGCTGTGTTCGCAGAGGCCTGTTTCTCTCTCTTTGCGGGCCCTCCCCTCACGACTCCTCTTTCAGCCTGGGGGGCTGCAGGTTTTCTGCTCCCGCCCTCCCTGACCTTCGCCTCAGCCCGGGCTCCTCCAGGCCTCCTGCTGTGGCTGCAGCCCCGCCCCACCCTCGTCCCTCTGGCCTTGGAGTCAGAACAGCCGGGCGGGGCCGCGGGGCGGGCAGGAGGGCCTGCGGTCAGGGGCACGCGGGTGCAGCCACGGTTCAACGTCCTTCACCAAGTATGGCTGAGCCGGGCTCCATCGGTGGACAATAGCAGCTCACGTTTCTGCCCGGGAGCTCAGTCCAGGGGAACTGACACCTGATGTAACCCCCCAGTACTCAATGACAGACTGTGACGTCCAGCCAGACCGCCATCGTCCTGCCCACAGGTGCTTCCAGGACCTGACCAGGTCTCCCTCCCCTGCGGTCCCAGGGGCACCTCCTCTCTCT